AAATTAGGGACGGCTAGCGCAGATAGCCCTCGTGTAGCTTTGCGCGAAATCCGAAACAAACAAACAAAATATTTTTATTATTACACACCAGATGTAACTGTCACTTCCTTTTATTGGTAACATACGAGAAATAAAAAACCTTTCTAATTACTGTTATTTTGGAAGAAAGAGAACGAACAGGTGATTTGTATCTCATTCTCACTAGAATATGTCAGTTTCTGTTTGTTTTGAAATATTAACGAACATTTCTTTAATAACAAACATGTTGCAGGTGCTCTTGCTACTTACTAATGCTATTACAATGTGACCACAGCACTAAAAAAAAGTCAATTTAGTATGCAGTGGGGCGCAGATGTTCTTTCTTGGTAAACTAGTAGATAAGTGTGTGTGTGTTAGACAATTTGGAGTCTCGGTAACAAAGATAAAAACCTATGTTTTACGTCATAAGTGATATTTATAGTTGTTTTGTGTTCCAATTTTGTGGGCTCACTGTTTGTTTTAGGGCAAAGTCACAGTGGCTATTTGCTGAGTCTACTTCGGGAAATCGAATCCCGGATTTTAGAGTTGTAAGTCAGCAGACTTACCGCTGATCCACCAGGAGACAAGGCTGACTGTGAACGTAAAAAAAAAAACGTCTTTTTTTTTGTTATGCTTGCAAAGAAGCTCAGCCTGAGAAACTAATTTTTTCCCAGTTTTATAAATTCTTAAAACACGATAATTCCACTCATAATCGTTTCTAAAATACATGAGCTGTTAATAAGGGCTAAGAAGTTTTTTTGTTATACAATTGTAACTGCTAAAGATGTTAATATTTTATTATTGACAATATTATTATCAAATACATTCCATAATCAAAGTTTGAAATATAGCTGTGAAGGTATTTCCAAATATGGTTTATGTTAAATGCGTGGCTATCGCGTCATTCCGTATGAATGAAACCAGATATAGAGTATATACTAAGATATTCTTCAGCTACTAAAAACAGAGAATTTTTTATTGTTCAAAAAATTTAATGACTGCCTATGCACTAAACAATTACAGGTTTTTACTATGCTAATTCTTTCTTTACAAATTGACTAATTACAGTGAGAAACTAGTGTATTTCAAACTGATAATATGTAAGAGTCATAAAAGTAAAAACACTACACTAATTATATAACTATCAACCTGAAATTTCTAAAACGTTCATTGAACACCCTCCCTTACAAATAGTTTAAACGTAGGTTTAAGTAGAGTATTTACTTACGTGTTTTAGTATTCTGTATTTTTTAAAGAAACTTGGGCTTACTTTTCTTGGTTATACTTATAGGGACCAAACGGGTTTGAAGATTTACGAAAGTTTATAAAACAGGGTGGAGACTTTTGTAAAGAGATCACTTCTATTTTACAAGAACGGTAAGATCGCATACTTTGTTTTTCAGGTTTTTGTACTAATCCTTTTTAATAAATCCTACTACTAAATTGCACACGAAAATAAATAATAGTATCGTATTTGACTATTCTGTCCCAGTGGATGTAATTAACCTGACTTTTAAAGTTTCAGAAGTCTGTAACATAATGATTTGTTTTGAAATCGACCAAATTATAAAATATTTCCAAGTTACAGAATCCAGGATAAACGGATAAGTCTAGTGTATGATTATGGTGATTGATCATGACATGCAAGGATTGGCCGTAATCATTATAACTTGGTATAACAGAAGTAAGCTAGTTCAAATATTTTGTATGTAAATTGTTCATCAACCAAGGGAACAAAAGAGCTGAAATTAGAGTATAAATTAGGTGTACGTTTTATTCATTGAAAACACTTAATGAATCAGTATAATGATAATATACCATCAACTGTAACCCGTGCAACACGGGTAGCCACATATCCAAAATGACTAGAGTTAAGAAATACTTAGAAATGATTATACCTCCCACAGGATCTCTCTTTCAAAGGCAAGTACCACGTGCAGAATGCGCCGAAACAGTTTTGCATTTAAAATGTGCTCTCAACTTGTTTTATCAATTTTTAAAAAATTACTTTGTTTTGTGTTAGACCAAATGAAATGTCTGCCCCATTTATGTAGTGTAGTTACTATATGAATTATCTTAAGGATAATTAAATCATTCAAATATTTTATTTCATCAGAAATTTAATAGTTATAGCAAGCGACATTAATGCTTATGAAGTTATTGCAGAAACAAAAGAAGAGGGAAAATTGCAAATGGAAAGAGGTATTGAAGGCATTTGAGCCAATAATATATGTTTTGACCAATGAATTTCTGTGTCTTGACGATAAAGAAAAGAAACATTCGAAAAAAAATATTGTAGAAGAAGTGGCAAATATTAATTCAGAAAAAGGAAGAGTGAGTAATGAATGATAGACTGTTTACTTTTACCTAGAGTTTCATGTATCTGATCAATCATGTATGTAGAAAGCAAACACCACACAGTAACACTGACAAAAATGTGGTATTTTACTGCCAGTGCATTTTACTGCTAGCAAATAATTGTTCTCCAAACAAAACATTTCCTAGCACAGTGAACGACTTTATTCTCAAATATTAGACTTTTACAATGAACTAATAAACTATCGAACTAAACTTGATTGAAAATAAAATTGAATAATAAAGTAATTTAATGATTTTATGAGAAAAAAAAGGCTATCACTGTGTAGCAAGTATGTACACTATTATTTATGGTTACACGGGAACAAATTTTATGACTTAACTTTCGTGTTCAAGGTTTTTAACATGACAGTGGTTGCTTTTATAATATTCCGATAATATAATTTATATTCCTTGCAGAAACCCTTAAAATCAAGTAATTAATTGCTGCATTCGTTTGCGGCAGTAAAATGCACCGGTAGTCATTTACTACGGCATTAAAATGTCACGGCAGTAGAATGTCATAGAACCCAAAAAAGTTATGGTATAGACACAATAGTCATTTACTACGGCATTAAAATGTCACGGCAGTAGAATGTCATAGAACCCAAAAAAGTTATGGTATAGACACAATTACAATGTGTCAATAACATACATGAATAAAACAGTAAGAGAGTTTCATCTACAGTCTATCTCAATCAGTAATAATACCATAAATGGCTTTTCTGATAATTCTTCTATCAGTTATGGCTGAAGTTTATCTGTAAGCCATACGAATTATTACAGGAACAGTAATAATTTATTGGCAAACAACGATTTATAGGTATAGTAAAGTGATTTATTTTTGAGAAAGCATACTACTTGTTTCGACAGAACATTGTTCTGTGTTGTGTAGACCATACCAGAAGAGAGACCAATGTTCTATCGAAACAAAACAATGTACTGTGTTGTGTAGACCATACCAGAAGACAGACCAATGTTCTATCGAAACAAAACAATGTACTGTGTTGTGTAGACCATACCAGAAGACAGACCAATGTTCTATCGAAACAAAACAATGTACTGTGTTGTGTAGA